GGGGGGGGTATGAGGGTATTAGGGGGCGGTATGGGGTGTGGATGAGGTTATTTGGGGTTCTGGACCCCAATTTTTTTAATTATTATTAATTTCTTTTTTTGCGGGGTGCCTATCGGTCGTCGACCGGCTGGCGCCGAGGGCGCCTACCATCAGCGCGTCGGCAGCCGACCGTAGGCATGATGACTACCCTGGAGAGAAGATGAGAGCATAGTAAGAAATGCAGCTGTCCCCCATATGAGGAGAAGACAAGCCTGCATTTTTTTAATTAAAAAAAAAAAAGGGGGAAGAGAAAGACAGACAGACAGATAAACAGAGACAGAGGGAGGGAGGGGGAGAGAGAGAAGCAGCCATCGTGTTGTCTTCCAACTATATTCAAACAAGGAACGACTGAATGAGTTGAGGTTCGACATTATCCTGAAATAGACTGAGGCAGGGAGAGAGAGAGAGAGAGAGAGAGAGAGAGAAAGAGAGAGAGAGAGAGAAAGAGAGAGAGAGAGAGAGGAGGTAATCAAGTCAGTCCTCATGTTGTCTTCAAATAGTAGTTCATACCCAATTCAAACAACGAGTACAGGCTTCAAGCACAGATTAAACAGAACAGCCAAGTGTGTGGCGCCGCACAAATCTTTCAGCACATGCTAAGTGCGTAGCACAGCACAAATCTGCCAGGTGTTGATGTCAACTCGGGGGTCTCCAAACCTGAGACGACTGAGGTATGCAAACCTGACACCACTGAGGTCTGATCCTCGACAACAAACGACTTGATACCAATCCTCTACCTAAAAAGCATGGCCAGCAGGTAGGGGGGAGCGGGGGGGACGGGTGGGGGGGGGGAGGACACGGAAAAGGGGGGGGAAAGTGACCAAGCAAAACTGCCCTGCCATTTTGAAAGCAGGGAGACTCACTGATTCGAGCTGCTGGATATCACACAATGGCACCACTTCGTCTATCCTCATCCCCTCCCCACCAAGCAGGCAACAACAACAGCAAAGAAGACACGCTACAGATAAGACAACCCCTGCACAAACCCCTATTTATTCCACAAAATAACCTATATAAAACCCTAAACCCCTAATCCCACGTTGGAGAAGGTGCACTACCAAGTGCCCAGGGTCAGGTTTCGCATCGTGGAGATGGATCTGGTCTTGTTCGAAGGGTTTTGTCTTGCTCACATATCATCCCCATGCTGGAGATTACATCTGGGTTATATCCACCAACATCCATTCCAGCAAGGGCCAGATCCACCTATCTAAAAACATGTCCGAGGTGGATTCATGTATCCAAAAGCATATCTGGATCAGATCCATCTTCTCAAAAAACATGTCTGGGTCAGATCAACCTGTCCAAATACATGCGAGCGCCAGATCCTAACCGGCACATTCCATTCCGGCATGGGCCCGATTCCCCAATCCATTCCAGATGTGACTTAAACCACAATGACCTCTGAGCCTCTTTTTGCCGAGGCGGAAGAGCACTCCACACGAAGCCTTGCCGACACGCAAGCATGGCGTTTTTTTTTGTTTTTTTGTTTTTTTTGGCTGGTGCCGCCAGTCATTGTGGTCCAGTAGCACTGTTCATCCAAAGAACCTGGAGTGTTACATTTTCGATTCTCACCGTTGCCTGGGAAAGATCGTGGTGGTTTAGAGGAGGGACTCGTCAGAGTCGGGATTTTCCAAAAGGGACTCACCTGGTAATCATCCAGTTGGGCATAAAAAAACTGGCCAAACACTGCCAAAAACGAGATTTGTCTTGGAATAAGCCAGCAATGCCGCACCATACAAGAAGGGGTGGAAGACGGGGGAGTTCAGGCAGGGAGATGAAAGGGGGGAAGGAGGGAATTCCAGCAGGAAGAAGGGCTTGCTATTGGACAAAGGGCCTTCTCTGGGACAATGGTTTGCTATTTGGAAGACTGGTCTTGTGTTTCAGAAAAGGGCCTTGCTATTGGAGGAAGCGCCTTGCTATTGGGAGAAGGGCTTTGCCTTGGAAAAAGGGCTTTGCTGTGAGAAGGGGTCTTGAGTTAACATGCCTGTTGCTGAAACCCCCCCTTCCAATGAGTGGCATGGAACAAGGACTTCAGACAATCTCTGGTAACATCCATGCTCTTCTTTCTTAACAGCCTGCTAATGGGCAGTTAAGAGGAAACAGGAGAAGAAAGAGGAGAAGAAAGAGGAGAAGAAAAGAGGAGAAGAAAGAGAAAGACGAGATTTCCGCACACTCACAATGCTACCGTTGGTGACACTGGAGCTCTTCCTCCTGATCTCCTCGACACTCTCATTGTTGATCTCCAAAAGGCTTGGAAGATTATCTGTTATGTCATCGAGAGTCCAACCCAAGGGACTGGGAACATCCACCTGCAACAGGTTGCAACGCAAACCACCAGCAACAACACGACCAACGGGCATATCGAACGATCGCCGGCGTCCATCGCATCGTATCAGACGATTGGCGCCCGTCATTGTATCACATCAGACAATCAATGACCTTCGCCGCAATCATAACGAACGACGGACGACCATCGTCACATCATACCAAACGATTGCCGGCCATCATCGCATCATACCACACAACCAACGGCTGTCATCGCACCATATCAAATGATTGACAGTGGCCATCACATCATCTAAGAAGGATAATCTCACCCCCTTTCTCCTTCACTCTCTCTGGCTTAAAAGTTATATATACGACTCTGCCAAATACAACAATGCCGGGTAAGTTCTTCTTGGTCCAAAAGCCGGGCAAAAGAAACAAAAACAGAAGAAAAAAAAAAAAAACACCGCCGAACAGTGACACGTGATTTTTTTTTCCCCTTCCCTTCTTTTTCCCTTCCCGTTTTTTCCCCTTCCCTTTTTTTTCCCCTTGTCCAAGAAAGGAAGAAAAGGAACAAAAACAGGACAGAAAAAGCAAAAGGAAAACCACCCACAATCCGCGTAATAATACGGTAATATTGTTTTTTTTTAAGAACAAATGGCTGAGCAAATCATTTGGGACTCAATCGAGTGGTACTTTCATGGGAATTTCATTTATTGCTGTAGTTTTTTTTATGGAAAACAACTGCAGTTCCTTTTCATATGTGGGCACCGGATGTATACGAGGGTTCCTCCTACCGTTGTCACAGCTTTCTTTTCTATAACACGGTAGTAACACCTGGGATTGCTGTTCTAGCAAACATGTTACGTGTGTTTCTTTTTACTCTAGTTTTTTATGCTCTAACATGGCACTGCAAACTTGGTCAACACCTCCTGCTCAGATTTGTTTGATTGGCTCCAAACGATTTCAGAAACTTCATGCGCACACCACGTGAACCGAACGAACAACAAGCTCTTCGATTGGAGCATCGGCAAATTGAAATTGGTTGCATGTTCAAATACTCCATGAAAGTGAGAGAAACGTATGTACATCTGGGTGCCATGCCGCCCTTGTCAAAGCGCATCAAGCAGGCCTCTAAACGATACCGTCTAAACCAAGATCTCACTGGCTATGGGTGCATTTGAACAGGGTCCCATATTAGTTTCGTTGGACACGCTACTGAGTAGGATTCGATCTGCTACTGAGTAGGATTCGATCTGCTATCGGTATTCTCCCATCGAAGGTTAACGTGTGTATTATGTTGTTTTGTTTTTGGTTGTCCTTTGTTTTAGCTGAGCAGCGGGGTGCTTTTTTAACCAATTTTTAGCCTGCCTGGAGTGGCCTAGTTACGGTTCCGGTAGTATTCAACGGACCTGACTCGTAGGAGTCTGCAGAGTATAAGATGTTGTCAGAGCTAGCTTGAAGACTGTAGAAGCTTCCGAACCCACCGGGTAGTCCCAGGGTTATGTAGGATTTTCTTTGTGCCTGAGTCGTAGGGTTGGCCCTCCTCCACGCTGTAGAAGCTTCCGAACCTGTGTGGTTTTGCTGTGCCAAACCTATAAATACGTAGCATCGAGTTTAGTTTGACTTCTTGGCTTCCCGCGGTGACCGGTGACTGTGACGACGGCCGACCGTCACCAGGGGTGGGTAGCGGTATGACGGCGGTTCATGGGCGTGTTGGTTTGAGAAGTGGAAACCTATGGGTTACGTTACTGTGTCTACGTGTCACTACGGTGACTGTGTGCATACGTCCATTGTGTACTCTCACTTGTGTGTTCTTCACTCACGTGATTACACTTTGTGTATGATATCTCACTATGGTTGAGCCATCAATACCAATACCATAGGTGCACCCTTCTTGCCTCTTCCCCGACGCTAAAAATAGCAACGCTCGACTCACCCAACTTCCCAAAACTAAACAATGAAAGTTGCGCTCGGTTGCTTTGTGAAGCTACTGCCTTCCTTCTCTTCTGGGTCTACTGGGCCTGCCCATAAAAAAAGCAAGACAAACTGGTCTAAAAGGATAGAACTAACAGCAGAGACTTGCACCTTACAGCTCCTCGGTTCAAATCACGAAATCGGCAAAAACAGCAAAACCAACAGTTACAAAAAGAACAACAAAACCGCAGAAAACCTCACTCACTTGCAGCGAATTCTGGGATCCAATCCAGGCTGAGCTCAACACATCAGTCAGCAGAATAGGTCCACAGTTGTTCTGGTAGGACCACATTTTCTTGTAGCAGCCATTTGTTTTGTCCACAGTTCCTTGTTTCCACTTTTTTTTTCGAGTTCACAAATTGAGAAATAAAAATGCCTTGTAGGGGTTGTAGGTAGGACATATATATGGGTAGCTAGTGTGAGGTAAAAAGAGGGAAGAAAATAGGGTTGGGGGGGGGGGGGGGGGGGGGAATACAACTGTCCCCCATACGAGGAGAAGACAGCTGTTTTTTCTTTTACTTCTTTTAAACCACCGCTACCTTTCCCATATGTCGGCCACGGGCATCTAGTAGCCTACTCCTGAAAAATAGCCGCCACGCCGCCGTCCACATTTTTCATCGACGGCGCTTGACGGCCGAATTTGAATTTGAGGCCCGCGGCCCCACAAATGAGAAAGGTAGTGCTGGTTCAAGGGGCAAAAAAAAAACAAAAGAGAGAAGCAAAAAGTGGTCAACAAATTCGTCGACAAATCAATTACAAATCAGCCAACAAATCGGTTCACAAACTCATAAATTGCCAGAATTCATTAACATTCGAGCGTACTTGTAGATCAGCATATCATGGCAAACACCCAGGAGCCGGGTTCTATTCTTCAACAACAACAAAAAAAAAGGGCGACGGTCTTCAGATATCGCCAAGGAATTGGACCGGTCCCAGGTAATTCAGAATGATTTTATTCTGGTCATCTGATTGTATCTGGATTCGAACTTGGATCTGTATTTCAACAGTTTGTGGGTGTACCAACGGCAAACACCCAGTTTTGCATTCTACATGTTTTTTCGTTCGCTTTTCTTACCCTGCAAGGAAAAAAATTATCAGCACAAAACAGAAAACGAAACTGACAGGGCCAAACTGGCCAGAAAAAAGGAGGAAAAAAAAAAAAAGGCAGGGACCAAACTGCATAACACAATAAGGAGCTGCAGAGATAGAAAAAGAGGGTCAAACCTGCAAATACTGTAAGTTTGGCAGTGCCCCTAGGATCCCCAGCAACTCATCCCGTGATTGTTCCTTGAGAGGATTCCCCTTGAGGTTAAGCGTCTCGAGTGAGGGAAGCTCCTCTGCATTGAAAATCTGCATACATTGCACGGAGAATCAACTGTCAAACATGGTAATACCACACCGTCTAATGGGCGCCGGACTGGACATGGCACCCTCTCTCTCTCTCTCTCTCTCTCTCTCTCTCTCTCTCTCTCTCTCTCTCTCTCTCTCTCTCTCTCTCTCT